TGATATCCTGGACATATAAAAGGTGTGTGCTCTGTTTCTGTGTGTGTGTGTGTGTGTGTGTGTGTGTGTGTGTGTGTGTGTGTGTGTGTGTGTGTGAATATTTCATTTTTAGGTTCATACATGTGGAAGGTCCATTTAAGATTTCTTCTGCTTCTGCTGCATCTGAATAGACAAAGGATAAACAAGATTAACCTCAAACATTCGAACAAGGCCTCATCTGTCAGTGGTCATTTTGTAATTAACCTATACTAATTTATGAATTTAGCTGCATGCTTAACTGTACCTCTCTTCAGCCTCCTCCTGGCAAGTTTGATCTGATCTTGAAGGATCTGAACCCAGTCTCGTGGACCAGGCAACTTTTCTATTCTGTGTTCTGTGCAGTATTTCTCTGTAAACACTGGACAGAGTTTACACAACTGTGTGAATGTTTTATTCATATTTCAACGTATCACTATTGTTGTGCACTGGTTAAACAGGACTGATTAATTATTTTGTGTCTCACCTTTAATGGCGCCCACAATGTTCTGGTCCAAGCCCTTACGGTTATCATTGAGTCCTCTCTTCCTTTTACCATTTGGCAAGGAGTTAGCCAGCGTAGTATCGTCAAAGAAGGCACACACCTGAACACAAAACTCCATGTTAGAACACTGTTGAGCCTTTTGTGATCTTATAGCTCATTAGTAAAGTCAATTATAAGATATTTGTTGTTGCTGTTCAAAATCTAATGTAAGTATCTAGTGACTGCAAAGCTGATAACAATAAAAGGGCAGTGAATTGGCTCTTAAAAACATATTGATGCAAACCAGTTTCCGGAACAGCAGGCTGCCAGAGCGAGTATAGTTGACCAGAATGGAGTCAAGCTGAGCCTTTGAGATATACACGTCATAATCCTCCGCAAGACGCACCTCGGACTAAAAGAATCAAATCACACTTACTGTGAAGTATTATGGGAAAATTAAGACAAACATAACACAAATCTAGTATTGGAAGAAAAATAGAGAACTCACAAACTGAGGGCAATACAATTAAGTTTTCTCCAAACATAAGGATGTTTGGAGCAAATAAACATCTTATACATTCCAAAAAATATCATTTGGAATACAAAAAGGTCTTGGAACACAAAGGTCAACCTTGGAATTCAGAGTGGCTTTTCTGTGGGAGTGCAGTAAACAAGAGATACTATTTAGGCTCAGAAAACAAGTGCATTTAATTATGCTAACGTAAATATTACCTCTAACAAGTGAGGCTCCCTGAGTTTGTTCAGGAGAGTATTGTGTCTGTTGTTGACAATAACTGGGCTGTTTTGAGGTGGCAGCACAGAAAGAGCAGAGGATGTGGGATGGCTGTTTGGTGTAGATGAGCCTTGATCTTTCTCACATTCCTCCCTCTTTCCAGATTCTAGAGGTGCAGCTATAAGTGGTGAAGCCTCGAGAGGGGCAAGAGCCGCTCTCCTAGTACTAGACACAGTAAGTGGTGCCACTTTATAGATTGGCCTTCTCTTGCGCGGCCTACAGCGAGGAGCAGGGCCTGGTACCAGACGAGGTTGGCATGGTGATGCTGCCTCTTCCTGTCTTTCCAAGGATCCTAGAAAAAGACGGTAGCACATTTAATTTTTCTTTCTCACTTTCCCACGGTGTGTGAGTGTTTGTGTTTATCCACTGACCTTTTTGAGTCTGCATCAGCCTCCTCATGGCACGCATTTCCTGCAAAATAGCCTGCAAGGTGCCCTTACAGTTACACTTACAGCAGGGGGTCTCTGGCGCAGCAGGAGGGATTACATCTGCTGAAAAGACATTTGGTTAGTGAATGTCTAACATGCATACACATACGGGTGCAATTTGCTTTCACAAATGAATAAAAGTGTTTGTCTCTCACACAAATACCTCTGTAATTTGTTGTACCTGTACAATAAAAAATGTGTGCAGTGTCTAGCAATAATCTATCTCCTCTTATCTATGAGCATATTTTTTTCTTTGAGTATAAAGATGTCATTGTTGGTTTTTCTACTCTTCAAACCTGCTCTGGTACCCTACCGTTAGCTTCATTTGTTTTGATCAGATCCTTGGTGTTGTTCAGGCTCCTCAGGGCCTTAGAGCGTGTGCTGTACTGCCCACAGCCTGGACCGTTGATGATGGAGGTGGAAATGGATGAAGGTGGAGGAGTTGGGTCCCCCGCAGAGTTCCAGCTGTTGCTCTGGTGGTCCTCTGATACAAGAGATGAAGGTGCAAGCTGATGTACCCAAGTCAGATTCCTATCCTGGGGCTCCTTTGTTAAGCTGTCCTGCTCCGTCACCACACGCTGATACACCCTGCCTGTCTTATCACTCAGGAGCCTCATCATTCCTGTGATTTGCCTCTTGATTTCCACTCCTTTATCCTTCCGCCACACTGCATAGAGAAAGATGTAGGAATTTAGATCTGCCATGATACATTATAGAAATGAATCCTTAAAACGGTACATACCATCATTCACAGCAGCATCCTTAGACTCTCCATTGACATCTTTGCAGTTTGAATTCATCATTATTGAAGGGACACTGCCTGCTTCAATGAAATGAAAACTTAATATGCCATGTGTGACAGATAGATGCAGAATAATGCTGTGGCCATTTGCAATGTCATAATTAAGCTTTTGCAGGCCGATGATGTCAACAGAAGCCCCTCCCACAACCAGAAATCCCCACCTGTAGGCAGAATGTAGAATTGTAGCCAGGAGAGGTGGCCTGGAGCGCAATAGCTTCAGCAGAAAGGGAACAATTTGAGCTGCATGCTGTATATTCAGAATGCCCAACATGCTGGACTTAACAGGTTGCAGCTACATGTTTAATAATTCATTTAATTAACGTTTTAGTGGATCTATTGTGGGACTGAGCCAAAAAATGTTTTTACATGTAATAATGAAATCGTTAGGGTTAGCTGTTAACGTGGCAGAGACAACAGAAATTGTCATGGCCATATCTTTGGTTGACAGAGTCTCTGCTGGCAAACAGCGCCAGACAAACAGCCAGACACAGACGCGCGTCTTGCAAGGTCTTGCATTCATTTATCAGCCTACCTTCATCCGTGACCAGTTTAAAGCTCTGTGACTTCCTTCTCCTCTTCCTTTCCCCAAACTCCATTGTCAGGGGGGGATATAGTCTTGGGTTAGTCGTGCAGACGAAAATCGCTCTTCAGATAACCAAAATCAGATGATACACTCAGCGGAATCTCTGTCTGTCTGCCTTCTTAATCAGTTAAATTCCTCCTCAGGCTGCACTACAGATCCTGCCGTCGGCACATTTTCATCTTATTAAGCTTAAATGGAACTGATCAATGCCACTGCCTGATCTATCCCCGCTCCCAACAAGGATGATGTCTCTTCCCTTTCGCCATGTAAATAAATTAATTACTTTAATATTAAAATTTCGTCACATATCCCTTTGCGCCACCTGATGGTATGTTCTCATCTAAAAGGTCGACTCACACATTTGCCACTGTGGTATCCAAACAATGGTCAGACATTTGAGCAAAAGCAAAAAGTACTCCAGACTACAAACATCAACTTGTTTCTTGTACTCTCAGTCTCAAATAAGTAAGACATTATTAATGTTTTTAGATCCCTTTTTGTTATTATGACAACTTATTTTTCTACATTTTACAAAAGATGTAAATGAAAAAATTACCACCTCTAATGTTTGACTGATTTCATGAGTAAGTTGTTAAACTAATGCTGCATTTATTAAAGATGATACCAGACAGGACTTAGATTGCTATCCTATTATTTTGGGCATAGATGATATCTATATATTTATATGTTGTACATCAATGAATAGCCAACATTTCCGCTCCCTCCTCATGACCTCGCTTCAGGCAGCAGAATACATTCTGAGTCACTGGCAGAAAACAGTAGGTAGTGTTGTCACGTATACAAATGCATGCCATTTAAGTTGGTCTTACTTCATAATTTTTTTTAAAATAGTTTTTCATTTTTAGTCTCAGACCTTGCAAAAACTGAGATTTAAAATGTGGACGTTGAAGAAGAAACCAATGCTCACAGACTATTTTGTGCTATGTTGTACCATCTTGCAAGTGGACGATTATTGGAGCGAAGGAAATGGAGCTCCAGCAGCCCATATTTGAAATTTTAGTCCTATATTGTTTTGGAATATGCACAACAATATCGGGTATATTGTTGTTCAGCTATATTATATAGCTGAATGGCAAGGCCAGATTAGATACACCAAAAAATGCCTTGAGTAATATTACTGCGGTCAAGCCAGCCTCCACTCGGGAAAACCTAGTCAAGCCAGCCCGCATGTGATATTGCGGTGCGCGAATATCCTATGCATTACGGTAGAATCCTGGAAACACTGCCTCATATATGAGCTATCATCCCTCTGTATTTTAATGCTTTAATGATAATAAAACATTCCAATAAAGCCATAATGCTTACTATATTATTTGTAACACAGGACACTGTAGGCTACATAACAGCACAGTAACTGTATGCCGTAGTTTGAGTGCTTGGTCCGGAAATATCCTAGCTTCGATCTTAGAGTGACTTTAATGGTCAATTCGTTCTTTTAATTTCTATTTATGCAACAGCTGGTAACGGAGGACTCTTATTTTGAAATCTAGTGGTTTTTGTCGGTTGTAAGGTCAACTTCCGGGTTAAGCGTGTATGTGGTGGCGTTGTTAGTTGTTACACAAGTCCCACTTTTTTAATTGTTTGTTAAAATAGACGACTTACGACCACCATTACTTAACAGAAATGGATATACTAAAGGCTGAGATCGCAAGGAAAAGAAAACTCATCGAAGACAAAAGCCTCATCGACGTGAGCTGATTAAGTTGATTGTTATTGTTAGCTTGGTAACTTAGCCCTGTTGCTAACATCTTTACTAGCTTTAACTTAGCTAACGCTTGCTAACTCACATCAGACAGCGTTGCCTTTACAGAATCGTGTTTAAACAGCTATTAATACATAGGCCAGTTTGAACTACACGTTCAGATATAGTTCATAGTAGGTCAGTAGGTTAAAGCCACCAAAAAATAGCGAACATTAGCAAGTGCGTAACGTGGCGTTAACGTTAGATACATGGATGTGCAGGCTGTTTCTAATGCTCTTAGAAGTCAGATGTGCTTGCTCCATACTAGGGAAATACTGGGATTTAAACCTAAACCATAAATGCTAAACACAAAATAAAACCCATTAATAAACTAAGCTTCTAATAATGTATGTGTAATTAATACGAATAAGCTCATGGGTTGATGATTGGTGTTAGTTTATGTACTGTAATACTTTTAGGGGATATCATTCTCAAATCTATTTCAGTACCTTGTCATCCTTAAATATGTGACCTATATGTTCATACTTTGTTATAAAAAAAATTAAGTAGTGTTATTTATCATTGCAAGAAGATACTTGCAGGACAGTATGCTCTCACCCAACACAAAGGGGAAAACAGTATTTTCTTTTCTATTTTGTATTGAAGATAAACATTCATCAACCATAGTTCAAGAAAATAAAGAGTAAAACACATGCCATCTTTGTTTTGAGAGCTTTACTATTTTATACCACTCTAGTCTTGGCCACCGGTATGATGTTTTCATTGCTTGTATATAGAGTTTTGTTATAAATGTTATAACAATTCCATCATATTTGTGCTTTCAGGACAACAAGAAATTCTTCAAAAGGTCCGATCTTGCACGCATGGAACAAGAAGATTACTTCATAAGATGCGGATATAAGGTTAATGTCAAGATTACTCTCTTTTTACTCTCTCATGCACACTAATGCAAATAAATCACTGCCTTTCTCCAGTTCAGATTCATCTCATGTTTGATTTGACATTTGTAATACTGTAATAAAACCTTTGCCAGGAAACAAAATAAGGTCAGTCTTTGATGCTCAGGTGTACATTGGTGTTTGTGTTTGCTGTTTTCCCCCAACCTGCCTCTGCTGCCTGCATCGGTAGGTTCAGAGAGAGACTCCTGAGAGCCAGGTATGGGATTGCACAGTGAAAGTAGCTGACAGGATGCATGATGAAAGGACAAAGCACACTGGGTGTTTCTCAATGTCGAGGAAGGCTGCTCCAGAGCCACTATTTCAAGCATACTACGTCATCGAGTGCCGCCGAAGGACTGTTCCAATGTCCAGCATACTTGGAATTCTACCGAGGCCGGCGTACTTCGTATCGAGAAATTTCGAGGCTGCACATGTGTAGACTCCGCGGTCTAAAAATCCCCACAATGCTTTGCGCACGGATCAATTTCCCCAAATCTGTGGCGGAAAATGTAAAGCGGGGCCTCTCATATGACTCTTGCTCGCCTGTTCCACTCTTCGTTTTCCGAATGCCAGGAAGTATTCTTGCCTCGCTTCTGAAGCAAGTGACTCGGAAGACATGTGCTACCAAGCAAGCGTACTCGACATTGAGAAACACCCACTGTGTCCCAAAGGCTTTCGCTTCCTTGGCACCCTTTTTGAAAGTTTGCTCTCTAAAGCCAGTGAGGATCAAAGCAGAAATAACATGGTGGAGTCATCTTTGCTTTTGAGTAAATCCCATGATGCCTGGGTCAACTCAATCAGTGTACACATTCTAATTCGATATCTGATAAAACATTTAATCAGCTCATCTCTGCCTAATGTGAAAAATCATTTGGTCTTTTCCAGCACATTTTTAAAAGTCATGGATTTTTTCTTTGATTTCAAATGAGGTACTTTCATAGTCTTGTCAATTGCAGAAACGCATTTGAAAATGTGATTGTTTTCAGACCTGCATTAAATTAATTAGCTAAACAACCACATGCTTCCAATTCACCACCATAGTCCATATTTATGATTTTCACAATTTCACATCCATTATGACAACCACATTATATACTGGACCATTTCTGTGTTTCAAACTATTTACAAACACAAAAAGAATCACTTTGGGAACAAGGAAAGGAATCTACAAAGCCACAGTGGGACACAGACATGGTGTGGATTTCAGCATGGGATACTGAACTGAAATAAAAAAAGATTTGTGTTAACAAGTTGATTTTCTTATTTTGCAAATAATCTACGACAGAAGCTTTTATATTTAGATCAACTTTTTGTCCCTATTTTGCTTTGCCTTGTAACAGTTGCTCTATGGAAAACTGCATTTCTCTTCGACTTTGTGCAAGGCTTAAGATGTCAAACGTATTAAGCTGTGCTCTTTGTACACATACAGTTTACTAGTGGTTTATTTGAGAAAAGGCCATTGTTTGTTGGGGAGGCTTTTTGTAATCAGTTTCTGTTTGTTCTTTTAGATTGTGCTCCTTACACCACAATCTAAGAGTGCTGAGATTGCATGTGCCTATAAAAGCATGTTGTGGTAGCATATTGCAACAATAATTACTGAATATGTTTTGCCTGTGATCAGACTTGTGATTAGACCAACTGAAATAAGATGTTTTTTTTTTTTAATATATTAAAATCTTGCTAAATTAAAATCTTGCTATTTATATTAAAATGTACATTATAAGATTGATCATAGTGACACAACCTTTTTATCCCTAAGGTCTTACTAGGACATTGTTACATACCCCAGTTATATTTGTTGTTTCATTTGCATTGGCCCAGAAAGCACAACCTTTCAATATGATCAAATTCACCTTCAATTATTCCTTCATAAATAAATATATTTATTTTCCCTCCTTTTTGTCCAAAAGAATGATAACAAAGAAGAAGATGAGCCGTCCACCTCAGTGAAACCAGTGTTAACACAGGAGCTAACAGAAGAGAAACTGCCAATGTCACTGTCACGACAGGAAGTGAGTCAACGTAAATTATTAACACTTGCCTCAAAAGTCATTTTTCTTTCCATATTAAAAGTCAATGCACATTTTTTGCATCACTGTGTTTTTAAAGGTAATTCGACGACTTAGAGAGCGAGGGGAACCAATCCGAATGTTTGCAGAGTCTGACTACGACGCCTTCCAGAGACTCAGGAAGATTGAGATTCAGACTCCTGAAGTGAACAAGGTAGGACTGATTGTGATGACACATTGCCCAGTAAAGACATCCTGATTCAAGTCCCTTCTATCCAGGGAGAAATAAATTAGGCTATTATGCTAACCACACGGTGTCGAGTGCAGGCAGTTTCAACCTTTCCTTGCAACTGCGAATGAGCATTGGACTTCATCTGAGCTAGTACCACTAGTACTAGTACTACTAATACTTAAAATGCTGTTACAAGGAACCCGCAGCTGCATGAGTGGATGTAACAGTCTAAACATGGCTGGATTTGAAGTCGGAAAGGTTAAAGATGTCAGCAGGAAGGAGCGTTAAAGCTATCATCTTTCCAGTCCGTGTGCAAGTTCCGCTATAATTTGAATAAAAGCTGGAATCATT